GGAAGGAAGGAAGGAAGGAAGGCTTTTCTGAGTTTTGACTCCAATTGCAGAATTCGGAAAATTGTGGATCATACTGTCAGTTAAGATGGAGCAAGAGCCCTTTCAACAGAGAAGAACAGGTCATCTTTACTGTCTAAACTGAGGTGAACATTTTAAAAAACGAGATACTGACAGGGCTAAATGAGTGCCTGAAATTGTTCAAGGAAGATGCTGGTGAAAAAGCAAGACATAAAATAATAACCATTGCAAAAATATGAAGCTTCTACAGGCCAGTAAAGCTAGAAATAGTCATATTAGCCTTCCGCTAGGGGATTGGGGTAGTTCAAGTAGTATTCAAAGCCCAGGAGCATGGCATCATACAAATATATCACCAGAAATGACTGGAAAAGTCTGCCAAAGTTATCTCTGAGCAAAAGGTAAGATCAGCATCCCAAGAGGCTAAACAGATCTGCATACCAGGGATATTTTTGAGTTGCTTGTCTTCCCTGCTTCTTCATATTCCAAATGAATGGTGTTTAAATAGTCCTGGGACAGGAATCAAAGGTGTATCTTCATCGACGCAGGCAATATTTATACGTTTGTTGAAAAAGTGCTTAGGCTCCAGCTTGCTTCTATAGTTCTGTGTGTAAGAGCTGGTTTACACACTGAACTGGGTGTAAAACTTCTGGTGCAAAAATAAGAGCAAAGACCGGGTAATGAAAGATGCAATGTGGGAAACAATTAGGGGGGATTTAGAAGAATCCCAGAAACGACCGATGTCAAAAGGAGGTTTTACCTATGGGCTAAAATGTCAAGAGTTGTTAAGTTGAAACCCATCTAACAAGAACTGCCATCCAAGCCATGATTACATGGGAGCAACTCCCACTGGACTCAATGGACTTACAGCCAAATCTACGTCTGCAGGATTCATCTCACAGATCTCACACTGAAAGAAAAATTGAGAGAATGGAAGAGATACAAGGACAGGCATCTTTACCTCCTTAAATTACCTGCTCAAGTCTTGTGGTTCCTTAAAATCTAAATTGTCACAAATCCATCTCATCAATAGAAACCGTTCCTCAGATCATACTAGCTGCACTACAGCAAGGAAGCCATACCAAGGACTTGAATGCTGATCTTTAGCATTATTTTAAAAAAAATCAACTGCCAAGAAATGTAACTTTTGCAGCCCGGAAGGTCTTGTGCCTCAGGCTTTCCAGCTAGAAGTGGTCCCAACTCAGGCTGTGGGAGATGACTGCTTCTACATCTCCCATGGTCTGAAAATTCAACAAGGTGTTATCCTTATATTTTGCTTCCTGAAGGTCTTCTCTTCCGTTCATTTCTTGACTGAAACTGCATTTCTGAGGAGGAAATCGCTCTTAAACCTTTTTTTTTGAAACCAGTCAAGCCGGCTGCATTTCTGCTGAGGGCAAAGCCTTCTGTTTTGATAAGCCCTGTTCAGCCGCTCTGCCGATATCCTGTTCTCCTTCTAATAATAATTAATAATTACGTCCTGTTGTGTCGATTCCAAACTATAGCAACTCTTCTTATGGTAGACGACGATATTCATTTCTCAGCCTTACAGCTGAGGCTGAAATCAATCCTGCCATCATTGCACAACTACTCAGATGTAAAAACCCCTCCTAGTCAATAAAACTTGTTAACCATGCTTAGGATTGAAAACTAAAATAGTTGAGAGAGAGAGAGAGAGAGAGAGAGATTTTTCTCAGAATCCTAGTTCTCATGATGGACACCAGTTTGGAAGAACCTTGCGATTTGGCTACCCAAAGTCTACAATGCTTTGAAAAGATGCTTTTGTGGACTATGACTTTTAAAAAGAAAAACCCTAGCCAGCGTGGCTCCTGGATTCAGGCAGCTAAAGTATCCAACACATGATTTTCAAATCCTGTAAATCAGTTACAATAATGACTTTTGAACTGCAGAGCTGGAAAGGACCCTAAGGGATCATCCAGTCCAGCCCCTGTCAAGGAGGCCCAGTGGGAGGATTGGAACTCCCAACCTCTGGCCCCACAGCCAGAGACCTAAACCACTGAACTATCCAGCAGTTGAGGATTGCAATCCTACCCATGCCTGAGTGAAACCTGAATTGTGTTCTCCAAGTTAGCTCAATGGTTTAGAAGATAACTGCCTGTGGAGCCAGAGGTTGGGAGCTCAATCCCCACCCCCTCCACGATGTGTCTCCTTGTCAGGGGCTGGGACTCCGTGACCCATAGGGTCCCTTCCCGTTCTGCACTTCTAAGAGGATGATAATGATGATTAGTGTTAAGGGGAAAGCCATCTTTTAAAAACAAACAAACAAACAAAAAGCCCTCCATTGACCAGAATGATCCTTAAGATCTCAGAATGATCTCAATTAAGGTCCCTCCCACCCTTAGCAACAAGTACAAACCCCTTTGGGGGGGGGGGAGAGAGGGAGACTGTCAGAAGGTTCAGATTATTGCTTCCAATGCAAGCAAGCAAGCAAGCAAGCAAGCAAGCAAGCAAGCAAGCAAGCAAGCAAATAAATAAATAAATAAATAAATAAATAAATAAATAAATAAATAAATGAATGAATGAATGAATGAATGAATGAATGGGATAGGGTAGGATAGGATAGGATAGGATAGGATAGGATAGGATAGAAACTCCTTGGCTGGCTCTGAGAAATTGGCTGGACTCTTTTCTTTTGGCCAACCTTACAGATTGCTGAGTGGAATATCATCCTCACCCTCATCCTCAGATCAGCTCCATCTCCCCCATGGGGCTTCCTTGCACCTTCTGGAATTTTTTATTGTTACTGTTACTGTTACTGTTACTGTTACTGTTACTGTTACTACTATTACTACTATTACTACTATTGTTATTGTTACTGTTATTATTCAACCACCACCATCTGCCCCTGGGATCCCAGCCGCCTTCTTCCCCGACTCACCCACCCGCCCACCTTGTCGGCGGGCTCCTCGAAGGGGTGGCTCGCCAAGCGACCGGCTCACGAACTCCACCGGGCGCAACCACTGCGCCCTCCAAAAACGCGCGCGCCCGCCCGCAAAGGTCCGAGCGTCTCCTGCCGCCCCTCTCTTGGGAGGGAAAGAGATGGAGGCAAAAGGAAGCCCGTTTCATTTCTTCGGTCTCTCCTCTTCCTCCCTCCCTCCGCGCCCCTTGCGCCAAATCCCCCGTCCTCCCCAAGCATCCCTTTACTTACAGGCGAGAGAAGTCAGCCGGATTCTTGGTTGGTTGGTTGGTTGGTGTGTATATGTGTGTGTGTGTGTGGTTTTGGGGGGAGGAGGAGAAGGAGGGAGGGAGGGAGCCAGCAGGACGCCTGGGTTCCTCCGTCCGGACTGACCGAGGAAAGCGAGCTGAAAGTTGAGTGAGTAGTGTTGGCGAAAGCGGGGAGGCGGGCGGGAGACCCAGAAGGGCTACGACAGCAAGACAACACCCCCCCCTGCGCATTAGGCGAGCCAGCCTCTTAAAGGAGCAGGCGCGCCTCTGAGCCGGGAAACCCGGACGGGGAGGGAGAGGAGAGGGTCCCGGGGAGCCTTGGAGAGGAGGGGTTTTATCGCGCGCGCCCTGGTCCTGAGAGTGCGCGCAGCGGCGGCGCCCGTTGCCCGGTTTCCCTTGCGCCAGCGGTTCCCTCTTGGGAAAGGATCTCCAGGAGAAAGGCCAGGATGGGGGGGGAGGTGTCTCTCGAAGCAGCACCCGGTCTGGAAGAGCTGGACCCCCCCCCGTCTGGTTGCCCCCTCCCCGTCTGTTTGTCCTGGAACATCACCATTACCCGAAGCTGATCCCTCGGCGCATTTCCCTTTCTGCTCGATCCTTGCGTTGGCCTGAAACTTTCGTAGTGCCCCTCAGGCACAGCTAGGGAAAGGCGGGAGGCAGCAGGAGAAGAGGGGACCCCAACGCCAGAGGCATGGACTCCCTAAAGGAAGCCATCGGGTTGAGTCTGTACGAGCTGAGCAGGGCCGTTGGGGGGGCGGAGATTTTGGAGGTCCCTCGTTCAAAGGGTCGCCATAGGTCGGAGGCGACTTGACAGCCTGTCACAAGAATGAACCCACAGCGCTTGGGGCAGGTCTCAGAGTTTCGGCTGGGGAGGCAAAGCTGCCCAATAGAAATTTCTGTGCGTCAAGACCACACTGTGTCTCTATCCGCGGTTCC